ACCGTATCCATGCCGGAACGGTATTCCTTCAATCACGCCCTAGGTATTGATATCTTCGAATGCTTAGATGCACAAGGCACTAAGTACCAAGTTATGAATATGGTGTGTTTAGGGACGTGTTTTCAGCTTGCAGAGACCGTACGCGTAGGCGACGGGTTGCCTTCATCAGCCCGGTGCCTAGAGGCCATCCAACGTCGTTGGACCGCGTGGGCTGGTATGCCGGCGATTATACGGTGTGACCGTGGCCTACATAATCGCGGGGTACTAGCGCAGTTCTGCGCGGCTCATGGCATCCAAGTACACCACGCGCCATTGGAAACACCCGAGTCGATTGGCCGAGTGGAACGCCACGGCGGGATCCTGAAAGCGATGACTAGAAAGGTAGTATCGCAAACACAGGCCGTAGGCGAAGTGGCATTACAGACAGTCTTGGATGAGTGTTGCCTCACCAAGAATAGCATGCTGAGACATGGAGGTTACTCCCCATCTCAGTGGGTACTCGGGAAGACGCCGCGGGGACCTCCATCTCTAGTAGAGGAGGATAACACCGCAGATCTTGGATCGTTAAACGACCAAGTTGATCCCGAGAGTCGTTTTGCCCTAATCCATCAGGCTCGGACGGAAGCCAAGAAGGCTTTTGTCCATTTGGACACCTCGAAACGCGTGCAGCGTGCACTTCTCAGGAATGCGAAACCGCTGCCGTACACGTACTCGGTGGGAGACGTGGTTTGCTTTAGGCGGGATAAGACGGGTAAAACTGTTTGGTCTACCGCGTCTAGAGTAATCGGTTTTGAGGGTAGCCAGAATGAGAGCGTGTGGGTTTTGTGTCAGAACGTACCGGTTCTAGTGTCCGCACAGAATCTTAGGCCTGCGCAAGATGCCGAGGCACTTGCACACGCAGTTCTCCAAGGGGAACCCGTGCTGCCAGAAGAACTGGTGCGCGGACAGCAACACTTCGAGGACCTCAGAGATGCACCTGGTGGTGACATCGATGATGAGGAGCCCGAAGAAGGACCTTCGGAAGGTACACCTCAAGAGGAAGTCGAAGAACCATCCTATGGTCTTCTGGACGGCCCAGGACCACTCTCATCAATCTTCGAGGATGAGGAGATGAATGAACAACCAGAGCGACCGGAGAGAGGTAGATCTAGATCACCTCCACCAGCATCATCTTCGAGGTCCCGACGGGTCAGTACAGCTGAACCCGAGGCAGAAAGAACTCCTAATCCTAGCAGGAGAGGAAGCAGATCAGACCTCCTGGACGATCTGCCGGCCCCTATTAGGTCACGTTTTGAGGAACGTAGACACGAGGAGGAAGCAAACGTGAGTATTCGACAGAAACTCCGTGGCTTTTGGTCTAACCGGTTCTCTTCCAGAGAACAGGTTGAGCAGGAGCTCAAGGACCTCCCCGAGGCCTTGAAATACTGGGAATGCACTCCAGCAGTCCGCCTGCGGATCGATGGATCACGCGCTAAGGAATGGAAGAAATATGAGGATTTTCAAGCGGCAATTCCGCTGAAAGGAGCGCAGCTTAAGGAACTATTAGACGCTGGTCATACGCCGATACCATCTAAATGGGTCGACACTATTAAGAACTATCATGAACGTCTTAAGCCGGATTATGAACCTGAGTTCAAATCCAGACTGGTGTCCTGTGGAAATTTTGAAGATTCCACAGAGGTTCGCACGGACGCGCCAACCTCAGACCTCGAAACGCATGGCCTAGTATCAGCGTTCGCCGCATCCAATGGAGTCCCTGTAGAATCGTCAGATATTCGCAACGCCTACTTTCAGGCCGAGCCAATAGACAGGGTTGTACTTATGAGACAACCTGGCGGAGGACTTCCAGGAGTGGATCCGGAAGCGATGCTCCTGATCAGAGTACCGGTATACGGACTCTGCGATAGCGGCAGAGGATTTTGGAGGAAAGTCGACCGAGAAGCACGTGAAGTCGGCTTCCAGGTAAGCAGGATTTTCCCTGCATTTTACTTTTACCGCGCCGCCGGAAAAGTAGTCTGTGTCTTGACAACACATGTCGATGACTTTTTATGGGCATCGATAGGCAAGGGCGGAACTATCATAGATAAGCTCCTAAAGAAGTTCGAAGTAGGCCGCCGCGAGTCGGGAAGACTACGCTTCTGCGGTAAGCAATTCGACATATCTGGAAAGGACGTGTTAATCGACGTTACCGATAACACGAACAAGATCACCTACATTGATGTCAAGGCAGGAAGGAAACACTCGGATCTTATTGACCGAGGTGAAGAACGTCAGCTACGTTCTGTAGTCGGCAGCCTTTCGTGGATTTCTAGGCAAGCTAGGCCAGATATCCTATACCGCGTATCGAAGCTTCAGAGCTCGATAAAAGGTGCAACTGTTAGCACTCTTCATGAGGCTAACAAAGTCCTAGAACTTGCCTTAAAGGGTCGCGACCTTAAGCTAAGATACAAAAATGGTGCTTTTGATTTCGAGAGCCTGGGCGTACTGACAGCCTCAGACGCTAGCTTTGCGGGTGAAAAGGGAGACCGATCACAACAAGGACGGATCCATTTTCTCGCTCCAGCTGCCCAGCTTCGCGATCCAAATTGTAGTCGTTACGACACAATGATCGTGTCGTTCTCATCCACCACGATCAAAAGAGTATGCAGAGCAACTCTTCAGGCTGAGACTTACGCACTCCAAAGTGCCAAGAGGCAGGGGATCGCATAAGAGCAGCCCTAGCCGAAATCTACGGATTCGGTAATAGTGGTCCCGATTGGGAACTTCGTGCGAGAACACAGGTTCCGCACATAGCGCTGACGGACTGCCGCAGCTTAGCCGATCACCTCAACACGGAGGCTCCGTCCCGTGTGCAAGACAAACGATTGCAAATCGAGCTTAGCGCTCTTCGCCAGTCTATCTTTACAGAAGACGGCAAGCGCACGGTTGAGGCCTACCCTGCGGGTGGAGATAGAGTAGACTGGGTCGATACAGCCACTCAAGCCGCTGATTGTTTCACAAAGTCCATGAAACCGGATTTCATCATAAAGGTGATAGAATCTGGTGAGTACAGTATTAGTCGAGCTAAGCTGTAGACGTAGATTGCAGACGCTACAATCGTGGGCATAGGTTGTATGTACCATAGTAGCTGAGTCGGGGCTAGGGTAGCATGCAGACACCACTTCCGGAGGACAATACCTATTGTACCTCATGTGGTTAATTTAGATTTTCCTCGATGTCATGGCATGAGAACAGGTTGAGTGTGAATGCACCCTCTGTTGTACATGTACAGGAAGCCATGGCCATGACATGCATGTGTTAACTGTATATATTTCCCGCTGCCGTTAGGGCCCTTGAGTCATATTCAGATAGCTTCGCAGTCGGCGAAAAGATCCACCAGTTTTCTCAAACGTAGTATCAGTTGGAATCAGAGTAGCAGTAACAGTCGCAGCAGCGACGTAATATGAGTACAGTCGTCGTCGTCCTCGTCATCGTTGTCGTAGAAGTGGCATTGGGAGTAGCAGCAGTAGTACGAGTAGTCACCCGTATGATTGTTTGGATTTATTGCAGCAGGAGTCGTACTAGTACTCGTACTTGTGGTCGTGGTCTTGGTCGTAGTGGTGCTGCTGGTGGTAGTGGTATCGGTAGCGCAGCCGTAGCAGTAATAGTAGCAGCAGCGGTATAGGTAGTGAGAGTGTTAGCATAGTGGTGGTAGTCGTAGTTGTAGTTGTAGTTGTAGTTGCAGTTGCAGTTGCAGTAGTAGTAGTAGTAGTAGTAGTAGTAGTAGTAGTAGTAGTAGTAGTAGTAGTAGTAGTGGTAGTAGTGGTAGTAGTGGTGGTAGTAGCAGTAGTAGTAGCAGTTTAGGTGGTAGGTAGTAGGCATTACGCACTACGTAGCAGGGGGTAGTAGGTTGTATGTAGCAAGTAGTGGTAGTGATGTAGTGGTAGTAGTAGTGGTAGTGGGTAACTATAGTGGTAGTTGTAGTTGTAGCCCTCCGAACTCTGATATCGTTCATTCCTAGTTGCGTCCGATCACCAGAACATCCAGGGGTCTCGGTTTCCAGCTTCTAGTCTAATCATCAATCAACTTATTGTCTCTTTTGTTTTGTAAGTGGTTCACATACGACAACGAATCTTGCCTGGTCGATGCGTTTTGGATTGGCAGGCATCGGTGCACTCGTATTCACCAAATCATGCTCCCTCGCTTGATCGTCGTGTCTGCAGTGTCGGCTTCAGCCTCCTGCTCGACCTTTCTGTGCGAGTGGATTGCAATGCTTATGGAGAAGTTAATTCCGATGCCACAAGCCTACTTTGCTAATTACTTTCAGACCCTGGGTAGAATTACGCACAAAGTCTTTGTCCCTGCCAATACTTTCGGCACCTCGTGTGTAGCTAATCGCCCTACTTTCCTTTGCACATTCCATTCTCACAAAAGCATGAAGTACCGCAGAGTTGCTCAATTTCGACAGGTCTCTTGAATCTCGAAGCACACAGTAACTCCAGGCCTTGTTACTTGCGCGTGACCCAGTAGTACCGATAGTATTAGTAGTAGTAGTAGTAGTAGTAGTAGTAGTAGTAGTAGTAGTAGTAGTAGTAGTTATTGTTGTTGTAGTTGTAGTTGTAGTTGTAGTTGTTGTTGTTGTCGTGGTCGTAGTGGTAGTGGTAGTCGTAGTAGTGGTAGTGGTAGTATCAATCGCAGTAGCAGTAGCAGCAGCTCTAGCAGTAGCAGTCGGGGTTGTTGCAGGGGTAGCGGGCGTGCTGCAGTTCGGCAGTTCGTGCAAAGCTGATGACCTAAATAGACTGGCTTCAACTGATGACCTAAATAGACTGGCTTCGAGTTCCAGACTCATTTGTGACTTTGGAAGCTTGGCGAAGGTAAACCAGCCAAGCGCTGAATCCGCTTTGGGGTTCAATTAAGCCGAACGTCATTGCAAGGCATGCAAACGAGAGCATTTCACAATTGATAATTGCAAAACCGCAGCAAATATACGCAACATCATCCTGCGGGACCGGCGGGCTCAGGCACTCCTTCTGCCTCGCGTTCGGACCTCGGAGCGATGATGGAGGAGAAGCTAATCCGTTGTCACCTTGGGCAGCGTTTTGATGCACCTGTGTAAGCGCTGCTTTTAAGAAGATCCGCCGGCCGTCTCGTCGTTGTCGTTGTTTCTATTGCTCTTTCTGTTGCTGTTTCTGTTGCGGCTGCTGCTGCTGCTGCTGCTGCTGCTGTTGCTTGTATTTTTTCTTGTTGCAGCTGCAGCAGCTGCTGCTGCTTGCGTTCTTGTGGTCGTCGTTCTTGTCGCTGTTGCTGGTGCTGTTGCTGGTGCTGTTGCGGCGGCTGCTGCTGCTGCTGTGGCTATTGTTGCTTGATGTGTTTGTTGTTCTAGCTGCTGCTGGCGGTGTGTCGTCGTCGTGGTGGTGGTGGTGAGGGGTGGTGGTGCTGGTGCTTGTGCTGGGTGCTGGTGGTGGTTGTGGTGGTGGTGGTGGTTGTGCTGCTGCTGCTGCTGCTGCTGCTGCTGCTGCTGCTGTTGCTGTGGCTGTGGCTGTGGCTGTGGCTGTGGCTGTTGCTGTTGTTCGTGTTGTTCTTGTTGCCTTTGGTTGCTGTTGTTGTTGTTGCTGCTGCTGCTGCTGTTGTTGTTGTTGTTGTTGTTGTTGTTGTTGTTGTTGTTGTTGTTGTTGTTGTTGTTGTTGTTGTTGTTGTTGTTGTTGGTGTTGTTTTTGGTGTTGGTGTTGTTGTTGTTGTTGTTGCTGCTGGTGTTGTTGCTGCTGTTGTTAGCGTTCGTGTTAGTGTCCGTGTTAGTGTCAGCGTTAGTGAGTGTTGCTGGTATTGACGATGTTGATGTTGATGTTGTTGTTGTTGTTGTTGTTGTTGTTGCTGCTGTTGTTAGCGTTCGTGTTAGTGTCCGTGTTAGTGTCAGCGTTAGTGAGTGTTGCTGGTATTGACGATGTTGATGTTGATGTTGAGGTTGTTGTTGCTGTTGCTGTTATTGCTTTCTTGATGCAGCTGCTGCTGCTGCTGCTGCTGCTGCTGCTGCTGCTGCTGGCGTTGTTGCCGTTGCTGTCGGTGTTGTTGCTGTTGTTGCTGTTGCTGTTGCTGTTGCTGTTGCGGCTGCTTCTGCTGCTGCTATTGCGGCGATTGTTACTTGATTTGCTTGTTGTTGTAGCTGCAGCTGCAGCCGCTGGAGGTGTTGCTGTCGTTGTGGGTCGCCGTCGTTGGTGTTGGTGTTGCGTGTTGTTGTTGTTGTTGTTGTTGCTGTTGTTGCTGTTGCTGTTGTTGTTGTTGTTGCACAGTTTCTATAGCGCATGGTGCATATGTTTGCGAACGGCATTGAGCCCTAGACGTGTGATACAAGTCATTTCCACATGTCGTAGATCTATATCAACACTTTGCCCGGCTAGCTTCTTGCGCATTTATCGTGGGACACGCGCAGGGTCTGTCCGTGGTCGTCCGTTCCGTTTCCACATATCCTAAGAGTGCATGCCATAAACTGAAGCTTTGTACGAACCCTGCTACTGAAATATGCCGCTCCCACGCTCCAAGTGCCAAAACCTGAAGCGATCGACAAACGCCTCTAGGCTGAGAACCCTGGTTCAGGGCTTGCTTGGTCGACTTGATTCTGTGCCAATGCTCGGGTACCCGAAGCCAGCCATGTTCAAAGCGGCAAAGCTTTCCGATGAACGATCAAATCGACAGGGAAACCAACAAAAAAAGGTATGCAAGCCTATGAGCTGCTACGTGCCTCGGACAGTCTGACAACCCTGTAAAATGTACACAGACATCAACAGAGCCAGCCCCAGGTCCAGCGCTGAAGTCGGCGAAGTCAGGCCTCGGAGATCCACGGCCAAGAAAGAAGGAGTTGCTTCGAGGGCGGATTCTGGGGATCTGCGTTGAAATCAGGAACTGCTCTAGGTCCTCCTAGACTTTGTCAGCGTAAGGATCTGCAAGGGCAACAACATCTGTGTGCAATCGGTTCAGAGCGGTTTGGGGCGTTGGTGTTGGGTTTAGACCAAGGTGCTTCAGAACCCGAGCTGTTTGGCTTGAGCTGTTGACGGGGTGAAGATTCCGGATTTCCGGCTTCTTGAATCGTGAACCAGAGGTCCAAACCCTGCCAACATGAGAATGCACCGTCTTCGTATGTAGGTCCACGCGGCCGCAAGTTTTGAGAACGCGCAGAGGCCTCGCTTCAACTCCCCAGTTGAAAGTTTTCGGCGATCGCGCCAAGCGGTCAAACAGTTTCCTTACTACGTGGCTGTGAACACCGACTTGCCGCTGTAGCACTGCACCCTGTGCTGCTGCCTAAGGATGCGTTTGACAACGTGCACGCCTATGGATGCTCGCCTGCGAATCACAGAAGCAGAGACACAGCTTGCCTGTCATCACAGCTTCATCTGGCCTTGCCTGGCATGCAGTAGTAGTTGAACTCCTGTCGCTGGGACCATGTTGACAGCACGAAAAGCATGAATGCAATAATTTGCAATCGTGCGGTATATAACGCGTCAAAGATGAAGGGTCCTACCGTGACATTTATGTATAGCAGGACCATCAAAGCTATGACTTGGGCAGTTCGTGATGATTCCAACTCGTGGAAAAAGAGAGAAACATCTTTGTGGCCAGATGCTGTTTTGCTCTCAGTGGGGCCTCGACTCCGCCACCTCCGAAGTCATTCTGTGTAGCACGTGACCGTTGCTCTTTTTCTGTTGCCACTGCGGCTGCTGCCGCCACTCTAAGCAACAACACTATAGGACGTGTCGCTACGATGACGGCCAGCTTTTTCTACTGCCACAACAACAACAGCTACTACTGCTACTACTACTACTACTACTACTGCTACTACTACTACTACTACTACTACCACTACTACTACTACTACTACTACTGCTGCTACTACTACTTCTATTACTACTGCTACTGCTACTGATACTACTACTACTGCTACTGCTACTGATACCACCACTACTACTACTACTACTACTACTACTACTACTACTACTACTACTACTGCCGCTGCTTCTGCTGCTGCTGCTGCTCCTCCTGCTACGCTGCTGCTACCGCTGCTACTGCTACTACTACTACTACTACTACTACTACTGCTACTACTACTGCCACTGCTAGTGCTGCCCCCACTACCGCTAGCACTACCACGACCACAACCACATCTCCTACTCCTGCTTCTCCTACTACTACTGCTGCCCTTGCTGCTGCTACTAGTATCGCAACAATAAAAGGGCCCTGCTTGTTTGTTCATGCCACTACTGGTTTGGTCCAGTGGAAATATCATCGGCCCAAACATGAGCTGGACATTAGCGGCGTCTCTACTGTTGTGTCAACGGGTCATGTTCATTGTTGGCTCGTTGGCTCCTCCGTGTTATGCACGAGTATCTAGAGTATTCAATCCCCTTTCGAAGTCATTCTCTTTTGTTTGAAGGAGGGATCGACAGGCCCGCCTAAAGCCCAAGCCCCCGAAATGTCAAACCCCTTCCCACCATCCGAAAAGCACTACAAGAGATACTGACTTAAGGCCTTCTCTCTGAACACCTTCGCTTGCAACCTTGTTGGCCACCAGGCGCTGTAAGTTGACCCCAAGAAGAACTAATTGAGGCTACCTGCATGACCTCGCGATCCGCTCTCAACAGTCCAGTCGCATTGCCGCTCAGACTAACGTGGGTTTTTTGGATGCTTGCATGGTGGGGAAGACAAGAAGGCAGCCGAATGGAAACACAGAAGTTCTGAAAGTGTTGCCTCACTTACCTCAGACAGGAACTGCCTTTTTGCGTCGGACCTAGAGACCCCAATCTAGGTTCTCTTCTTTGTCGTTTTTGCAACCAGCTTCAAAGGGCGGCTCAAGCAACAACCTGAAGCCACCTGAACTCTGACTGCGCCCAGACGATGCCGCCCGTTAATTGGCTGCGGCGCCGCGTGGCTACATCCTACATCCTTCGAAAATGTTTAGGGTTCCCACAGATGGCTGCCAGTACCCGAGGTGCCCGAAAGAAAACAGTTTAAGTACAGCTCAGTGAAACTTTGCGGTGGCAATCCGAAGCTATGAAATCCCTGAAGGCCGTCGGTCGTTTGGTTCTTTCGTAAGGATCATCTTTGCACGCCTCATGATTGACTGCTAGATAGTCAACCTTGGCCTGCGTCCTCGAGTCTGTAGCTATCGCCTTCTGGAACAGTAATTAAAGGGACTACCTGACCCTAGCATCAGGTCAGTGGAGGCTGCTGCAAGACGCAACAGCGTCCCTTGCCGGCACTGTGTCATACTGTAGCATGTGAAGCAGTGGTAGCAGGAGCAGCAGGCAGCAATAGTCTGCCGTAACTAGAATGCAGTACTTGCACAAATAGTAGAAGTGGCAGCAGCAGTAGGAGTAGGGGTAGGGGAGGGGTAGGAGTAGGACTAGTGGGAAGAAGAGTAGTAGCAGTAGGAGTAGGAGTACAGTAATAGTAGTAGTAGTAGTAGTAGTAGTAGTAGTAGTAGTAGTAGTAGTAGTAGTAACTTAGTACTAGTTACTTAGTAGTAGTTCTAGTACTAGTAGTACTACTACTAGTACCAGTAGTAGTACTAGTACTAGTACTGGTAATAGTAGTACTAGTAGTAGTGCTAGTAGTAGTACTAGTAGGCGTACTCGTAGTAGTACTACTACTACTACTAGTAGTAGTAGTAGTAGCAGTAGTAGTCGTAATCGTAGTCGTAGTCGTAGTCGTAGTAGCAGTAGTAGTAGTATTAGTAATATCAGTATTAGTATGAGTAAGAGTAAGAGTAAGAGTAATAGTAATAGTAGCAGTAATGGTAATAGTCATAGTCATAGTCATAGTCATGGTCATGGTCATGGTAGTGGTAATAGTAATAGCAGTAGGAGTAGTAGCAGCTGCAGTAGCAGCTGCAGCAGCAGCAGCAGCAGTTGCAGCAGTTGCAGCAGTAGCAGCAGCAGCAGTAGCAGCAGCAGCAGTAGCAGCAGCAGCAGTAGCAGCAGCAGCAGCAAGTAGATCGCACATACTGCTACTGCCATAAGCCAGTAGTCGTAGCGAAGTAGGCATCGTGGCGTGCAGCCGTCGTAATCACTGCAGGAATGCATACGGCTAGAGATGTCGTGACTGTCGCCTACAGCACAAATGACGAGATTGGACGGCCCCCCCAAGCATTGCCTGAAACTTCACAGACGACCGCTCGAGCACACATCTTGTTTTGCGGTGCGGAAAGGGCGCAGCTGACTACACGTCTACTCCGTCGAGAGCAGCTGACCGGGCTCCTCTTGGACGGCATTGTTAAAGAGACGCCTAGCTGGCAGCTGGCATGTCTTGAACGCTTATGTGTTGAGGCTTGAACCCGAACCGATCCCAACTATGTTTCCTGTCATCATTATTGCCGTTCAGTCCCCATAGTGGTCAGCGATTAATCAGTCATACTTCCTTGATGGTGGCTACTGTGGAATCTTCTTGTTGCAAAAGCTCTCACGACGACTGGCGAAAGCCGTGGCGCTGAGAACGTGCAACCCAGATGGTCCCGAGGAGCAAGCAACGTGGTCTCTTCAAAAAGACGACTTACGCGGACTATGTTCGCCAGGCCGCCCTTCTAAAGAGGCAAAAAGCCTCCTCTCTCGGAGCTGGATCTGCACCCTCAGAGCGAATCGCCACGACATCTGCGAAGCTAAGAGCTGCTACACTGCAACACCCAGATTCTTGTCTTCATGTTCACCATTCACATGTGACTGGCAGTCTGCAGGCTAGGTTGTCTGAGTTATATGATATGTTGTTGTGTACTCAGTCAGTATAGTCTTGCCCTGTCGAGAAGCTCTGTACTTCATGCTGGGTTTCACGTTCAAAGTGGCAGCTTGCATCAGCATCATCTTCTCCGTCACCAAACTCATCATCTCAATTGTCACGAACATCGCAGTCGGACTTCGCGATTCTGTGTGCCTTTCCAGGCTCGATTTGTGTTCCGTGTTAGTCGCGAGAGTTCGCCACTTGGCCGAAGAGATTCGCATTTGGTAGGGCTTCGTGGTAATGCATCACGCTGCATTGAGACTCGTTGCCAAGTATTGGGAATGGTCACGTAACGGAGTCACGTAGTAGGAACTAGCAGCACCTTGCAGGATAATGCAGCTCTCAAAGCGAGTCAGCGCTTCAATAGTTGCTACAACAGGTTGGGCTTTGGAGCAAACTTAGGATGGAGTCTGCGGCAGTGCGAAGCGCATCGAAGAGCATGAGAATCTTTCAGCCGGCGTCAATCGCAGTGAAACAAATGTTACATGGGTGCTTTATAGAGGACGGTTTCGGATATATGCAGTGCAGTTAGGCGTCAGGTCAGCAGGCCACCCCTCAACTTGAGCATGTGAAGTACACGACACTACACAGATCAAGCCTTGTCGAGAATGCAACACCAAGCCGATCAACTAGCAGATACTCTGCATTGTTCGGTGCCCCGATGCTAGTAAGAGCGACACGGCGAGATCAATAACCTTTGGAAGGGTTTGTGGAGAGGCATTGGAGATTGACAAATGGCTTCAATCTGGTGGCAAATGAGAACTTCGAGCATGTTTCAGTCACCCTTCGAAGCCTGAAGCTTCTCAAGAGTCCTTGGCCGGGAGTTGTTGTCCATGTGCCAGATCAGGTGCATGCACACCATGGTGGAGAACTGGCGAATGCTGCAGCGAGACTCGACAACCAACACATCGCGGTCGCAAAGGAAGGAGCTGAGATCGTAAGCTTTGCATCACCTCGCTGTACCATTGAGTGGTTACCTCGAGTCCAAAGCCGTCGCTCTGGGTGCATCCTCCGGCGAGTCCGGAAACAGAGCACTCACCACATTGACACATTGGTGAGTGTGCAGCCTGCCTGGTGCCTAGGCTTGGTACACTACAAGGATCCAAGACGCCACGACGCAATTAATCAGCTAGTTTCTCGTCACCTCGAGTATCCCCTCCATGTTTTGAAACCCGAACCTTGTGCATCCATGTGGCCTACTGGGCAACTCTACAGCTTGAGTTTGAGTGCTTGCGGCTCACCATGAAATTCAGATAGAGCTTGAGTTGCAGAAGGTGAGCCCGAGGAATTTGCCTGCGCAACACATATAACGAACCCAGCTATTTTTCATTTTCTGCACATGAGTGTTCGGGTGCGCTAGGTATCGTTAGGCGCGGGCAACTTGAGTGTAGAGCAAACCAAAATGCGTTGTTAACCTCATCACGCTAACGACAACGTCAACGGTCCTAGTCATAGCGTAGCTATATTCAAGGTATTGACGAAGCTGCTAGTAAAGCGAACACTCAAAGCGACAATCGCAAATGCAAGCAGCTGGTCCTTCTGAGAAGCCTAGTTGGCAGACCACTGGAGTCAAGCAAAGCCGCATCATGGAAACACGAATGTCTTCCACACCATCAGCGCACATATGTTTCTATCTTGATTCGCAGCAACCACGAGCACATCCGAGGCGACTGCGCCCATCTGCACGAGCGCGTCTGTAAGGTTGCAGGCTTCTGGGGCGACCGAGCCGCGTTTCTTGGTCGAGAGAGCTAGGGAGGACTCTGTGATTCAGTTTGCATGAAGGGCCAATTTGGCGGCAGGTTGTGGGGCATTCATGGTTGTACGAGATCGCAAGTACCTAGTTTCGCTTGGGACCTCGTTTGTTCCATGCAGCAGAGAGCGAGAGAGACAGAGAGAGAGAGAGAGAGAGAGAGAGAGAGACTGGGCGGGGACCTGATACCATGTGCGTGTCTCTCAACCTTATCTTTGCCATCTTTGCTGACGATACGAAAGGCCCTCCGACGGTGCATGTGTCCCAACGTTGGTTGATGCCCTTGAAGCCTTTTACAGTCTTGCATATCTTTTGCACAATGCAGGGGAGAATCAATCATTGTGTCACGCCCTTTCAATGTCCCGTAACACATTGATGGCCCATGTGGCCAAGGGGCCTAACCAGCCACGTACGCCCTGGCGAGAGAGAGAGAGAGAGAGAGATAGATAGAGAGAGAGAGAGAGAGAGAGAGAGAGAGACAGAGAGAGAGAGAGAGAGAGACAGAGAGAGAGAGAGAGGGAGAGAGACTGGGAGCGAGTGGGAGCGAGTGCAAAGGTCCAACTCGCCGAAGCGCGGTGCTAGCAACGAGCTGGTTAGTGAGCAGCCACCTGGCATCTCTGTGTCGTTGTGGTCTGGATGTGGGGGTTGGTGTTTTTTGATATCGGATCCTGCAACCCAAGCCTCGATGAAAGACCAGCTTGCAGAAGAACAGTGTCGCTAACGGAGAGCCGAAAGTGCAAGACTCTCGGTATGAATGTTGACGGAAGCATTTGCGTTGGTAGCGTGAGCGCCCGCGACCTGTCCTCATTGAGACAACTACCTACTCTACACATGGCTAGATTAGTCCTACAATATCAGTATTGACATTGAGATGTACTGTTTCGCCGTTTCCGCCGTTCCGAGATGGTCGGAGAAGTTGACGCAGCAACTCGCCGGGGAGGCAGCTGACTTTGGAGCGGCGTTGCCGCCGTGATTGTCCGCCTAGCGCCAAAGCTCAACACCAGAGGCCCTTAAGCCCTGAGCCCTGCCTGAGCCCATGCGATTGGGGCCGGGGCCACTGAAGCTCTGACTGTACGATTGCATGCGATTGCAGACGCAAGCAGATCAGTGATACGTGTAAATCTCTGTGCCGTGTAATATACCAATGGACATGAACCTGTTGGACTGCCCGAGCCTGACTAACATTACACGATTGTTGTGTATAGGCATCTTGCTATCACCATGATTTGTGCTACGGTATCATCACGGTTGTTTTGGACCTACGACGATTGGGCATTTATGTACTTTGGGATTGCCCGCGCTTTAGCGCCAACGGCTTGCCTGGCAGCCTAGACCACCCTACAGTACGGGCTACGTCGGGAACGGGCTGTATGGCGGCAAATGCAAGTGGCCAGCATGGCAGGAGGAAGCTCAACATATACCCGATGCTTCAGAAAAGGACCGGGCACCTAAGCCTGAAATATTTGAAGCACTGCCGTTGAGAAGACGAGGCTTCTCAAGCTAACAGTGGCTGCACGAAGCCCAGAGAAATTCTCCTGAATCGAAAGGAGTTGGACAACTACTACTACAGCTTCGAGCTGCTTGGATTGCGACATGAGCACTTGCTTGGACAGATCGCAAGCTTCTGACTCACCTTCAGCCGGAGGTCTGACGATTCTTTTTTGCCATCACCAGTATGCAACGATCCAAGCAGCCAGATGAGCCAGTGTAGCCATTGATATTGCTGCAGGAGCATTTCAAGTATCAGCCCTTGCAACGTCAGACTCAGATGCAAAGCAAAGCTCCTGGCCGCAGCTCGGCTTCTTCCCAGTGACTCGAGAGGCCTCCCTTTTTGCCGCCGCTGAAGCGGCCGACTTCGGGCCGAAGTCGACAGGGAGGCCAGGGCCCGGCCGGAGCCCGGGGCCTCCCACACAGGGCCGGTCCGAAATTTCGCCGGCGAGCCGCAAATCCGAAACGCCGAGCTTCCAAGCCTTGACTGAGATCCGACTGATCCCTGGAGGTCTTCGCTCTCGGATCCTCAAGGACAGGTTGCTCGGCAGCAAGCGCACACACGGGCTTTACGGCAATGGGGATTAAAAAACCTGGGGTATAAAGCTGGGGCGCCCCACTGAAGGCCTCTCAGTCGAGCGGATCCGGTAAAGATCGGTAGAGAAGTTGCTTCGCCCTTTTGACACGCGGCTCAGGCGGCCTTCTGAGATCATCATGATTGACAGTCGGAGAAGTGGGATTCGGATGCTGTGTGCGCGTTTCTGAAATACCGCTTTCAGGATTCGCCAATGTTGTTATTATGAGGGGGGCGTTGTTTCACGGTGCGGGTTAAAGCCACACGGCTCATCACTAGCATAATCACATGTTCCTTACGCAGGACTCATCGGCCAAAGACTGACAGAATTCCTCGACCTAGCTCGATATATTGAATTCAGGCAGCCGCTCGCATGCTTGTCAAATCCCAGCTCGAAGGAATCGATCGCTATGCACATGTAAGGGTCTTGGGAACGCACTCTTGCAACGAGGACTTCAGACCCGTTCCTGTGGGCCTTTAACGTCCTTAGCCCTCAAGCTGCAAAACTTTCACAAGAGCCTCTAATTTCAAGCTTCAAAACGTCGACTCCACCCGAGCAAGTCCTTGCCCAGGGTAGCGGCATTGGTGCCGGCAGAGCTTACGACTGCCATCCGGCCCACAAAAGTTGTAAAAGGAATCAAAGTCTCGGCTCTGTGTCAAATCCGTTCTTGCCTTTTGCGCCTGCTTGCTCTGTCACTCTCACTCTCACTCTCACTCTCACTCTCACTCACGCATGCACGCACGCACTCTCTCTCTCTCTCTGTCTGTCTGTCTGTCTGTCTGTCAGTCAGTCAGTCAGTCAGTCAGTCTGTCTCTCTCTCTCGCTCTCTCTCTCTCTCTCTCTCTCTCTCTCTCCCATCTCGTCCTCTCTCTATCTCTCTCTTGTTTCCATCCATGCCTCTTTCTTTCCTTCTTTCTTTCTTTCCCGGTCTCTCTCCCTCTCTCTCGCTCTCTTTGTTTATCCGTTTCCTTTTTCTTTATTTTCTTGTTTCGCTTTGTCTGTCGCTCGTTTTTTGCTCCCGGTCCTTGTGTTACTGCCTTTGCTTGTCTTTGTCTTTACGAGGTACGGATTGTGCCAAATTCGAGCTAGCTTCACGGCATAGGCTTACGAAAGCGAAGGGCCCCTCGAGAATGCTTCCCGCTGAACCTGGACGTGTACCGCCATGTTGCACAATCGCATCGTACCATACAGCGGTTATTGCACGAACCATAGTGGCCATAGTGTTGGCACAGCAAGCTTTCAGGCAAACTCAATGGCATGGCCGCAACACGTAAGCCCGTCCAATGAGCTACAACTCCACTGGTAGGCAGGGAGGCTTTCAGTTTTTTGCTATGCCGCAAACCCTCAGCCGACCACCAACATTATTAACAACCTGCAGCAGAAGGTGCACAACGACCAGCGCTGCCCCCCCTGCGCCTCCATAAGTGCAACGGTGATTTGATTTGTTGTCCCTCCTTGCAGGTCTCCTCTTAGCCTGGTGATATTTCAATCCGACTTAGGCCCTTGTCCTCGAAATCTGCCCTGGATACCTTGGAAATTTTCCTGCCCACTGGCAAGGAAGAGCTGTCCGAGCAAAAGCCGCTTCCAGCATCCCGCCAGCAATGGCATGTTCCCCACGCACATTCATGATGTCACCGCCGGTAAATAAATGAAGAGCTATGCACGCAACCCTCTCTCTGTCTAGCTATGTACATATTTCATATATGTATTTGTTCATATGCATGTGTGTTTGTTTACTTGTGCAAACATGCACACGCACATAGTAAAGCATCTGTTTGTTCAATTTACATTTACATGCTTGTGTGTACGTATGTGTATGTGTATATATATATATATATACATTGTAAGCATTCAGTATGCAGACCTACATACATACATGGTTATATACATACATGTAGATAATAGTTAAGATAATGTTCTTGTTTGCAGGAATGTCTTTAGTTGCCTCAGTTGCCAACCTCCTACTGTATCATAATGCGTGTCCATGCTTGATTGGTGTGTGTCTCTATGTGTGTGTGTGCGCGCTTCCTTGCTGGCAGTTCGAGTACGATTGGCAATCATGATTTCGTGGCCTGTTGTGTTATCTGGCCGGGGACACATAATGACTCCTATAGTGCACCATGCCATGCTATCGTGGTTGTTTGTGTTACTGTTGTGCTGGGCGGCTTATTCCCGCTGCATGGCGTAGCCCACAGTAGCGGTGTTAACGGTGTGCCAAGCTGTCGAACGAGGGTTTGACATTTTACGGATCCGACGGAAAGTAAATGCCAAATGAGGCAATTTTGTCGTATCCACTTAAGTTCAATGAATCGAAAGCTTCTCGAGCTTGCCCTGCTGTTGAAGAGCCTCAGCAAGCTGGGACGCTGTTCCTGTGGAAGAAGTTTGCGCTCCCTCTTTGTCTTGTCTTTTCTGAGGTTCAGTATCATCGGCTACCTCGCTGGGCTCGTGAGAAGCAGAAGCGTGATCGGCCGCTGATGCCAGGGAGCCCGGCTCGATGCTTTTTCAGAGGTTGACATACACAGTGTCACACAGGCTTGGTTGTCCTACTGCTGTAGAGCCTTGATAGAGTCGACTTGCTGCTCGATCGCACCGGAGTCGTAGGGCTTCCTCGACACACTTCCTGCTGTGAGTGCGGGACAGTTGCAGGACCTTGGCGTTTGATTTCGGCTTGGAGCCATGCTTGATGGAACTCTGTCGTTATTGTCAAGTCCGATATGACCTAGGAAGTAATTCATGTTGCTAGTTGGTCTCTTCCAACCCCACTTGGAGATGGCTGCACTAGACAGCCCTGCGTGTGTTTTTGCCCCTTCCACAGCTGAAAGCTTGGCGGCCCTGAAGCCGCACGAATCCTTTAGCACGAGACCCATGAGAACCTTACAAGATGGGTTCCCCGACAGACAGCCACACCATACTTTCATCGCATTTGCCTAGTGCTTGCAGGTCTTCCTCGATGGCCAAGTCGCAGACCAGCCTTTCAAGGCCGTGCTCAGTCATGCTTTCGCTCAAGAACAAAGGCATTCTGCTTGCAACACCGCTTCTGATATTCCAAGCCTAAGCATGGATGTTTCTCGCTATTGGCATTTTGTCATTACTGTTACGCTTGTCACTCTTATGCTGTTTGCTGCGTCGTTGTCAATATCATCGGGAATGCAATTGCTTAGCTTTCTCCCGTTTCGCTCTTGTTACCAACCGCAGGGACTTAGTAGTGGTAGTAGTAGTAGTAGTAGTAGTAGTAGCAGGAGGAGGAGTAGTAGCAGGAGGAGGAGTAGTAGCAGTAGCAGTAGCAGTAGCAGTAGCAGTAGTAGTACTAGTAGTAGTACTAGTAGTAGTAGTAGTAGTAGTAGTAGTAGTAGTAGTAGTAGTAGTAGTAGTAGTAGTAGTAGTAGGGGTAGTCGTCGTCATCGTCGTCGACGTCGTCGTGGTTTCCGTAGTAGTCGTGTTAGAAATATCAGTTAATGGTGTATATCATCAAGCGTAGTGGTACTAGTAGTACTAGTAATACTAGGAGTAGCACTAGTACTAGCGTACTACTTACTACCACCACTACTACTACAAATACAACAACAACAACAACAACAACTACTACTACTACTACTACTACTACTACTACTACTACTACTACTACTACTACTACTACTACTACTACTAGCCACCCCCCCCCCCCTCCCAACTACACTTGTTCCATCCGGGCTGGGCAGCGGTAGCTGCTAGGCGCCTTAACTGCGATAGTTGCAGAAGATGCACGGGCTCAGGCTCCTTATCTGTGACAGCTGCAGAAGTTGCAGAGGCTCAGTTTCCTTAACTGTCACAGCCGGTGAAGTTGCAGGGGCTCAGGCCCAAAACTGTGACAGGAGCTGGAGTTGCAAGCTCGACGGGGAAGAAACTGATAAACCCCAGGTGGTCGGATAGTACGAAAACGCTGCAAATACCGTGCAAAACCCGGGTGCTGCCAAGAAGGGTTTAACATTTCTAAAACCTGAAGCGCAACATCTTCTAAACATCAAAAACAAAGATGCCAGCTGTACGTGGGAGGGGCTCGCCAACACCCCTACCGCCCAACCTCTGCGTAGGAGGGTCTGTTTTTGAAGTGGTGTGTGTGTGTGTGTGTGGTGTGTGCACGCTTGAGTGTGGAAATATTGTTCAGGGTGTCCGCAAAACAGTGTCGTGATCATCCCCGAAGAAGCTTTCCCCCACCCAATTTCGAGTTTTTTTTGCAAACAGTTCCAAACAGCAAAGTTTTATACGCATAGTCGAGAAGTAGGGGCACAGAACATGTAACAAAGTCTGACATCACGACAGTACCGTAAATACCGAGTTAAACGGCTCTTGTGGTGATACTGCTGGGTGTGTTCGCCTAACACTGTCGTCATCATCCCCCCCCCCCCACCCCCCCACCCACCCCCAGAAGCAAGTCCAAAATCAAGAGCCCGAGTTTGCAAACTCGACAAGTCGATTTTTAGGCCTCTTAGGATGATCGCACATGACGAAAGTGCCGTAAATATTGAGTAAAATGGATGTTGTCTTAACATGGTTGAGAGCAAGTGTAGTTGGTAGGGGGGGGTGCCTACTACTACTACTACTACTACTACTACTACTACTACTACTCCTACTCCCACTACTACTACTACTACTACTACTACTACTACTACTACTACTACTACTACTACTACTACTACTACTACTGCTACTGCTACTGCTACTGCTACTGCTACTGCTACTACTACTACGACGACTACTACTACTACTGCTGCTATTGCCAGAAAGTTGTTGTACTAATAGAAATCGTTGTTGTCGTCATCGCATTTCTGCTCCAGGTTCGTGCGCTGAATGATGTGTCTCTTTCTGTGGGAAAGGTTGAAACAGCGTGCAATAATTTTCTCGGGCTGCTTTCGGAGGCTTGACTGAACACACGCAGAGCCCTGAATACAGGCCAGACTCCACGACGTCTTTGCACACGTCAAAGCTGACCTGGACTTCCAGCCAGGCCGAACGATGATGGGTTTCCCTATGGGCATTGGTGCGGGTTGTGCCTTATTGGTTTTTCGCTGGTACATTTGTATAGCACATGATCTTAAGGGTTGGTTCGACATCAGCGGGATGTTGCCTTGAGTTCGAGCGCTGTAGAATAGATTCTGCCTCGGACGTTGGCACTGACAGAGCATTCTCGTGTTCTGTCCTGCTAATTCGTTTTTGCTCCTCAAACTACGAAAGCATTCGTTCTCCCAGCCCTGTTGAAGCCGGTCTTCGTTGCACCGATCATCACTCTGGGTGTTTCGGATGTCTGATGAGGAGATGCTTCGTTCGGCATCATCGCCCAAGCTCTCTGCGAGCACCTCACGCTTGGCGGAGGTCTGAATCTCCGAATTTTGGCCAGCTATTCATAGATAGATGTGGCAGCTGCACGGGTCTGTTTCTGGGTGCAGCACGAAACACGAAAATCGTGCGTTTATGCTGAGCAGAGCATCCACCACTACCGCTACCACTAGCACTGCTACCGTTTGCTGTTACTGTTACTACCGCTTCTGCTTCTTCTTCCTCTCTACTACTCTACCAGGCACTACTACGATACTACTACGAGTACTTACTATTACTACTATTATTACTACTACTACTACTACGACGACGACTACTACTTCTTCTACTACTACTACTATTAGTAGTAGTAGTAGTACTACTACTACTACGACGACGACTACTACCCCTACTAATACTACGACTGCTAGTACTGCTACTGCTAGAACTACTACCACTATCACTACCACTACCACTACGACGACGACGTCGACGACGACCACCACCACCACCACCACCACCACCACCAGTAATGCTGCAAATATTCATTCAAGGTTTAATTGGACATAGGGTGTTTTTAATTTGTCCTAGCTGGTTGTCGTATAGGACAGGTTCGTATCAGGACTCCTATCTTGGTCAAGTTCTTTTGGAGGCATAGCCTCAACAACGACTGCAGATGATAGTACTAAAGAAAAATCTCGTGAGTAATTACATACTGGAGTTGTTTTCTGAGAAGGAGCTTTCAATTTTGGGAATGTGGTTGCTGTCAATCTTTTGGCAGACCTTCGGTGAGTTCAGCCCCTCCGGCTCGCGCAGTGGCGGCCGAGGCATCCCGGCGAAGGTCCTGACTTTCCAGCTTGTGTGCTTGGGTTGAGGTTGTGTGGTGTGTTGTGGGCCTTAGTATTTCCGGTCGAGGGTTGATTCAGACGCCAAGTCTTTTCGCTCGTTGCTGCGCCCAATGCTTTGCAAAGCCACTGCTGGGCCTGACTGGCCATCGTCCTGTTTTGGTGATGTAGAGCGGCCTGTGCCTTCACATGATGAGATAGCTGTAATTAACGGAACGCACCAGGACAAAACCTCAGTCTGCAAGGTCGAAACAGGACCACGATCTACCAATACAGCTACCTATACTGCCCACCACCGCCGCCACTACGACGACTACTACTACCACCACTACATCTAGTTCTGCTTCCATCAATACCACCAGCACCACCACCGCCAACACCGCCACCAATCAACCCCTAGACAAAGCCCGAGGCCGTTCTCGACTGAAACGCGCTTGCTCCGAGGAAAGCTGCCGACACTGGAAGATCGATATCGATCAACTTGCGGCCCGGATCTGGAGCCAGGGAGCATTAGACATTTTAGGTTGTAGGACAGGGATCAGAGCTACAGATAGAGATAGAGTTCAGGGCATGCGGGTTGAAGATTCGGAGGCCTTGTCACATGTTGCAGATTTCACGGTTCACGACCGCTGCGGGAGATTAACCCCGAAACATCTAGTGTGTTCTGCACTGGTGGTCTCATATCTAATTTGACATGTCTTAGGCTGGCACCGGTAACGAATCGTAACCTGAACTTTGGCATCTTTTTGGTAATGTGCAATCACTGCTGGGAGGCGCTGTATTTGTGCTCGAGACATTGGGTGTCGGTCTTCAGGTTTCCAGGTGCTTAGTTAACATGAGTTCAAGCTAGCTGCAGAAGGGCTCGTAGCGCCAAGCCCTTTCGGCATTTGTCGACATGAGAAATTGGCATCAAGACAGGCTCCTCGGTGATTCGTTTTTGGTTACGACCTCTCAGACGCACTAGATGTTCTTTGGATGTTACCCAACCCTCCATCCAAGCAGCCTTAAACCCCTCTGAGTCTCGCAAGCCATCCGAGGCCGCAACAGGCGCACCGTTCCCGTCCCATCCTCCTTCGTGGAGGGGGGGCCTGTTGGCATGCAATACAGGGCTCCGGCGGGATAGATCGAGTGAGCAGATGAACGGACTGCCTAGGTACAGGTGCAGGATGTACTTACATAAGTGTGTGCAGACCTACAGCCTTCAGGCAAGAGTCCACAGGTGGCTAGCCGGCAGACAAGCATTCTGTGCAGTCATGTAAACCGATTCGCATACGTGCCGCGGCAGATGCATATGCTTAACTAGACACACACATGCATGCATTCATGCATACAGTCGTTCATCCAAACCTGCATTCATGCCTATTTGTGGAAATGCATACATACATTACTATACACTTCTGCACACACATACGTACATACATACATTACATTACATATACATACGTTGCATTAGGTTACATACATACATATACGCATATTTTGAGACATAGATATACATACACATACATATATATATATATATATGTATATATGTGTGTGCATAAGCACCTATATACACATATACACACATATATATATATATATATATATATATGTGTGTGCATAAGCATCTATATACAGATATACATATATACAGATATACATATATACAGATACACATATATATATATATATGTTTATATCCATGTGTGTGTATATATATATATATACAAATGTATTCACACATACATGCATGCCTACCTACCTGCCTACATATATACATACGTACACATATATTTTGGACAGATGATAGCAAACAGCACAGAAAACATGTGCATATATATATATATATATATATATTATATATGTATACATATACATGTGCATGCATACATGTGGCTGTGTGCATATGTGTCTACCTATCGATCGTTCGATCTACTCACACACACACACACACACTTGCACACTAGCGCATGCAAGTGATTTTGCTCGCCTCCAAGAAGCATGGCTTGCACTGCATGAGCAAGGGATTCCGCAGGCCCCCAGAAGCTTTTTGCGTTCGAAGGCTCGGGTAAAGGTTCTGGTCACTTTGCAGTTCTGCAGTGGCAGCCTGCAGCGTACTGTCCTCGAACTGCAAGGGGAAAGCGAGGATTTCTGTGTGTAAGGTCGAAGAAGCTGGACGCGAGGGGCATGACAGAGGCCACAACGTCGGGTGTTTCTCTGACAGTTTAGATTTTGCGGTCGAGGGCTACCTCTCGCCTGGGATCTTCGTGAGGGGGTTGCAGGAACAGTTCTGTTCTCGGCCTGGGGTCGTGCTCCGTCTGTGAGAGTACAGTTTGACACTTTGGCCGGAATCATTCCGTGCTTCCAATTCCGAGAAAGTTTCTGGCTTAGTGTTTGTCTCGCCGCTTCGCCGTGTCTTCGAGCCACCTGTGAGGCACAGCTCCTTTCCTTGCTTCACGTCTTGGACGATGGACGACAGGTAGAAGACCTCGACCTTGCCGGGGACCCGGTCATGTCCCCCCGAGGGCTCAGCAGGAGTGCTTCAGCTTGGACATCTGCGGCTTAAGTTCCGAAGCTTCGATAGCTTGCAAGATCGGGTACAATATGTTACAATACCACCTTTTGAGTAGCCAGGTTCGCAACAGCTCAGCACAGCTGTGCCCACCACCAGAATATGGGGATGTTCCGAGAAATTGTTTATGCGCCGACAGATTCTCTAGGACCTAGCGAGAGTCGAATACATGTGTGTGCATGAGTCCTTGTCTCAGGGTCGATAGAATGACGCAACAGGCTGCATTTTCTGTCCTTCACCCAACCCTTTTTGAGCCGGTTCCCGTCAGCAAACGTGTTTGCACGGGCAACGCTCGCCTCAGTACTACTACTACTACTACTACTACTACTACTACTACTACTACTACTACTGCTACTGCTACTGCTACTGCTACTGCTACTGCTACTGCTACTCCTACTACTACTACTACTACTACTACTACTACTACTACTACTGCTACTGCTACTGCTACTGCTACTGCTACTGCTACTGCTACTCCTACTACTACTACTACTACTACTACTACTACTACTACACTACTACTACTACTACTACTACTACTACTACGACGACGACAGTTCATGACAATGAATATTGCTCCACCCAAGCCTTGCACTTTCGGAGTCCTGCCCAGGAAAACAATCGCCTAGCCTCGGCCTCAGTGTCAAGTTAATTATGGATCTTGCTGTTTGATCTAAGCATTTGTTCGCCGTTGCTCTCCTGGGCTTTACAGAGTGTTCACGACGTCTGGCGGGCTTCAGGAACCCGACAAGTGGCCAGCAATATTCAACACCCCAAGAGTCCAGGGGTGGTAGAGCACCGAACAAAGCCAGAAGCCCCAACGAACGAACGTTACGGCGGTCGTGGACCATGGTGCCGTTGTTCTTTGCACATGTACTCTTGCTGTTATCATTCAATGTTTTTTCTCTCAGCCTTCTTAGCCATGAAGCTTGTGGGGGTGTGATTGCAGACACGGCACAGGATCAAGTACAGCCAGCCCTTGACTTCATGTCACCACGTCACCTCTCCCGAGCCATATGTTATTCCACATCAGCACCGCATTCCTGAACCACTGCCAAACCATGAACCCGGCCATGATGTTCTGACAGTTGGGCTAGCGCCTAGTCCAGATCCCCTGGCAACGCGGTGTCTCCCCCCCCAGGTGAGCGACGTCTCCCTGGCTCCCTTGATGCGGAAGCTGCGCGAGCCACACATGAGGGTGCCTCGGACGGGGCCGTTCGAGAGCAGATTCTCCCTGCTGCGCTGCTGCCACACCCCCCTTTCACTGGACTTCCAGGATGCCGTGTGTCGGAGACTGCTGCAAAGCTCATGAGAACAGTGCACGATTTGCAACACTTCAGCTCACATTGAGAAAAGGAAGGGGTCGACTCAGCCCAACGGCTGCTTCCCGTCTCCGCAATGAGTTCTGCTGCAAAATGGAAAGCAATGGGTCGTTCTCCAACTGACGGTGCCATGTGAGGCTTTCAACCTAACTTAAACTTAACCAGCTGGAGGCGAGTCCGGTCAAAGCAGACTGCAAACCCAAAGCCTCTGTTTGAGCGTCGATTTCAGCCCCGCCGGGCAAATGCTTTGAGTCATTTTTTGAGCTTGGAAGCAAAAATCCGGATCAAGGGGGTGTCGGCGTGCGTCATGTGGGAAGGGACAGAGGTTGTTGGAGAGGAACCGCTTCGACCGGGGCCGAGGCGAATTTCAGCGACACGCTGACCAGGGAAGTTTGACAACCTTGCAATATCGTGATAAGATCTCGCCAAGGAGTCGGTGCGAAGAATCAACTTTCGACAATGCTGTCGCGTGGGCAGTGCCACGCTGGACATGTGCGTGGAGCACAGCCGGCCTGTGAAATAGGTTTCTCAGTGTGATCGCTTTGGTTGTCGACGGTGTAAATTATGTGCCATAGTAGCATTATTTGGTCTCTGCTCTTGGCTTCTTAATGCTTCTTATGCTTCTGTCGCACCACCCAGCATTCCTCATGTTGTGGACGGATCAGCCACCGTGGCGGAAGCAGTAGTCGGCCGGTCGAAGTGCCATGAACACGACCGTGATGATGATGACGATGATGATAACGATGATGACGATGATGATCATGCTGATCTCATGACGATGGACTGGTCAGGATAGTGAGGATAGATGTTACGATGGTGATGATGATGATGATGATGATACCCGGCAGTGATGCTATTCGTGTTCCCGTTGACGACGGGGTGTATGATTGTTACCTTGTTTACATATATGCTGTTATGTTCAGTGCCATTGCTGCGCATTTGGGGTTTAGCGGGTATTGGAGCTATTCGCTTCAGCATAGTCTTCGGGTTATTGCAACAACTATTCGTCTTGCTGATGCTGTTTTGCCACGTTCATCAAAGAGTGTTCGCCATCCGCATCATCATTATCCAGATTGTCCAGAATCATCACCATCTTCATCATCATCATGATACATACTGCACACTATTCACCACTGCTGTAGCCAACACGTCGTTTCCTATGAATGCTGCTGTCCGATCATTCTGACTGCTTCCCTTGCTTGCTTATCTCAGTGAACTGCGTCGCATTGTCACTTACAGTTACTATCAGGTCTGCGACCGCTCTTGCAGCAGCTGCTCTAGTCTGGCATGCATGCAATGCTTCCTGTGCTTATTCATTGTCCTTATGGTCGTACCAGGATGGGGAAACATCGTATTGCAGAGGGCACTGCCCTCAACCATTGAAAGGCTCATGAGATTGGAAGAAGTCAAGCTGCCGTGTGAGCCAGGCTTCTGGCAGTAGCCATGAACTTGAAGCATGTCGCCGGATCCTCAGGGACTTGAGGTTTGGTCGATGTAAAACTTGGGAGATGTTACGCCGCGGCAATGCTGCACGCTTCGGATAGCTCTGCGTCACCTGGAGCTTCTGAGCATCATCTTAGAGAGTATGTAGTGCAAAGTTTGCTGACAGCGGGCTCAAGGAGGGCTTAGAGTTTCGGTGCTTGGAGCTGAGACGTTCTCAGTTTTTTTGTCGAAGTCGGCCGAGTGAAGTGAGAGATGGTGCATGGTTGCGAACTTCTGTTAGTCAGACTCTGCCAGACGTCCAAGGCGTGTTCTGTCGAGGTTGAATGCTCATTCGCTTATCAAGCCCTCGCATGACTGAGTCCGTGTAGCGCTTCAACTCATACTGCGTCCTGTTCACCACACACTGTATTTGGTAGATGTGTTCTTTTTGAGTGGTGCATAGAGGCAACAACATGGCTTTGGCAGAACGGCAAAATTCCATGCTTCGTTTGCGGCCTTCTCGGCCGTTCCGTTTGTTCCCTCCACCCTCGCAGCCCCAAGATCAAGTCCGTGAACCGGTCGGGAAGCCGAAAACACTTGCGTTTGCTGTGTCCAGGACATGAGTGGCCTGAATCTCGCCGTGAAGTTGCAACTACCACTCTGCATGGGGCTGGGCAGTCACCAGGTCGGCGTTTTAGAGTTGCTGGTCTTGTGACACGTGTCTTGCACACCTAATAGAAAGAGATTTGGCATCCAGCACGTTTGACAAGGCGAAACTGACGCATTGGAGCCTGGCTGGACGGTCTAACCCTGAGAAATCCAAACTTCACCCCCTGGAGTGAAATGCATTCAAGGTGAAGACCGCAAGGAAACTAAAACTCGGACCCCTGACCTCCCTAAGCGTCCCCGGCCGCAGTCCCTGGAGACAGTGGCGCTGGTCGGTGTAGGTCTTGGAGGCCCGGTTCTTGCATTGGGTTGGTTCTTGGGGCAGAGCGTCCGTGCTTGTAAAATTTTGCGGCTCAATTTGAGGTGTTCCTCGTTTGAGGGTCAGTCTGCCGGGACTTGGAGCTGAAGCTGCAGCCGCATTCAAACGGGAGAGAGGATACTGTAGGTTCGCAGATTGTGTTCTGCTATGTTCTGCTCCGGTCTGGCTTTCCGTTGGAAAACCTTCGGACCAGAAATCCCTGGTACGTGGAGCCTCCAAGGTAAGCACACTCCTGCCATGTTGGTCCTCCTATCTGGTTGGGCAGAGCCACTCGCTCCTTTTCGAGCAGTCTGAACCGCTAGATCATTTACTTGATCCCCAGCCAGAGAACTCTCAGAGGCAGCTGCGGGGCTGCTGAGTGTGTTCGCGACCTGTCATTTGAAGGGCTCAGAGTTCTGTATTATGTTTTCTCGATGTTGGGATGTAGGGGTGCAGGCCAACGCCGGTTTTGTTGGTTTACGCCACAACACAAAATTTGCTGCGGCCGAACACGATGCCCATTTCGTACATTCCAAGTGTGCTAACCGGACGTCTTGCTGTAGATATGCATATTTTTCAGAAAGCTTATCATCGGCGGTGCCGGCATTCGTCGTGTTTCCCGGCAGGGGCCGACGCATCTCAGGACGTCTCGTCGGCAGCATCAGCATCACATCACTGGACTTGAGCTGGAACTGCTTCGACCAGCAGGAGCCAGCAGTACACGGGCGCATCAACGACCGTGTACCCGACGGCCTATAGACGTTGTGCTTCAATTGCCGTTCTTTCATCTGCGTAAGCCCCGTAGAACTTCATTCTGATCCCCGTTGGGCCCGTTATAAACCATGTCTCACTGCGGAAGTGCGCTCAGGCCCCTCTGGACCTCGCAACAACTAGACGCTTCAGCCCCGCATCCGAAAGCCCCGAAGGCTAAAGGGTCCAAGCCTTTTTGCCAGCACTTCAGCTTGCTTCGATTTGTAACCGTTGTTTGCCACGCATTCCCGCAACACGACATGTCCAAATTCGCTGCGTGGACCATATCCTCACGCGGTTACGAGCCTGGCGAACGTCATGGTCGTAGACGAGCCACTGTTGAAATCAGCAGAGGTATCGCCATCATGTTATTATCGTCATCAGCAGCACAGGATTGGGAGCTTTGGAGTGTGTTAGGTTTTGGCTCTCTGAGGGAGCATACATCTTCGCCGTCCTGGTGCGAATACGCAGGTTGCCCTTTTGGGCGCTTCGTTTTTGTTGGGGGAGGTTGTGGGTTTGGCGTGGCGGCTCTTGCACTTCGGCAACTTGCCGGTGTGCGTCTACAGAGTATTTAAATTCATTTGGTGGAAATTTTGCGCGTTTGCTAAGCATCGCATGATTCTGCTGGTTCCAGTTTTACGTTAATTCACTGTGCAAAGCTGCTATGTATGGTATGTTTGCGCCTTCCTATGGTGATGCTTGGTGCACGGGTTTTTGAGCCACAGCTGTACCCTCGACAACCGTTTTGCCTTGACGGGAGAGCTTCACTGTCGTCATTTTGTTCGCACGAGCATTATTCGCAGTAGGAGAAGTGCCAGAATTAGCAGCTCTGCACTACTGGAACTATATATGATTCAGCAAATCTAACAGCAGCATGAATCATTGTCTTCCCGATACTTGTATAGGACCGGCCGATGCGACTTGCATATGTTGCAAGCAACATGAAGATCAAACGCAGACCTCTTTGGAAAGCTCTAGGAGTTTCAGCAGATGGGCAAGCAGCTCGTCCAGACCAGGCCGAGTCACGGGCTTGCAAAGTTTAGTGCTGGGGCATCAACTTCAGTGTGTGCAAGGCCAAACAAGGACCAGGACACTCTGTGAGAATTCCTCGATTTATCGATGCCGCCGCGCTTGCCCAGCCACACGTGCACGAGAGTGTGAACGGTTAACGCTGTGACTGCTTGATCATGACGGGGCCCCGAAACCTTGGTCCTTGCAACATTTCAATCATTGAGGGGTTGAAGTTTTATTAGGGTTGAGAGCTGCGCTCGTGCTTTCACGCGTCTTTCCATTTTGCTGCAGCAATGTAGTTGTGACTACTTGCTGCAAGAAGCAAGGCTTGAGCATGTCATCCTGCCCCGTGATGCCACACTGACAGCTGAATGAGATTCTAACCCGAATCGCCGAAACCGCACTAAATCGCAGCCTGTTACTCCAGGAGCTCGAAGTTGAAGAAACTTTGTTTGGACTCCACATCCAGCGTCGTCGGTTCCAGCGACTCCTCCATCGCGGAGCCACTCGTCCAGTAAAGGCTTGGACAGGAGAGCTCGGTTTGCAGTACAGGACCCTCACGCTAGCAAGCTCAACCAGGCAAGTTTTCCGAAGTATTCCTCAAGAGGAGAAGAGCTTATGATGGCAATGGTATGATAGCTACAACCACTACAATCGCCAACCGTCTCATCACAATACCACGCATCGGGGCTACGACTATGATAACTTCACACCACCAGTACCATCGTCGTTTTCAGAGAAGCACAATTATCTTCGCCTCCCACCCCGAAATTAGCAGCAACCTCCCCAGAGTGTGGGCTTGGGGTGCACATTGGACGGCTAATCCCCGTTTGGCTTCATGCATTCAGGTTTCAAAAATCGCTGAGCCACAAAAACTTAAGATTCTTGCACAGTTTCGACATCAAACTGAAACAGGCACTTTTCGAAAAGTCGCGCCAACTTGATCAATGGCCCATTCGGAGTCCTATGTTTTGTTTCATGCGCTGTCTTGTCGCGGTGTCAGAGATCTTGTGTTGGCGCACGTGTAGATGAGCAGCTTCTTTCTGGGCTTTCCGTTTCCATGTCTCCACCTCACAGACTGTACAGATCCTACAAGCCCCTACAATCCCCAAGCCAGTGTTCGTCGCAGGCCTGCTTAAGTTGCGAGAGTCAGCATCAGCATTCGTCCAATTGACCCGTTCTTAAGGTCTTAAGGCAAGGCAAGGAGACTAAGTGAAGTTCCGGGTGAAATGTCTCCGCATGCGAGTTCGTCCGGCTCCTTAACTGCTGCCGGAAATTCTCAAATTTTCGGTTCAAGTCTTGAAAGCTGCCCAATCCATCCGAAAACAAGAGATCCCTCAATCCGTAAGAAATGAACCCAAGGCTGTTGGAGGCCCTGGCCTACAATAGGACCCTGTCCTCGCTGAGTATCGCAGCTAACCGATGCTTGGCTGGATTAAGTTCAGATGGTCCTCCAATGTACTGTGAATGGGGCAATCGGCCTTGGCCATCAAGCTCAGGCTGCAAACGGGGTCGCCATTCCAGTCATGCGCTGTTTACGTAAACCGTAAACAACCGTGGAGCAGGAGTAGTCGTAGTGGTAGTGGTAATGTAGTAGTAGTGCAGTGGTAGTGGTGGTAGTGGTGGTAGTAGTGGTCGTAGTAGTAGTAGTAGTAGTAGACACCTAAAGGTGTGCGCTGGCAGGAGCATGTCATAGGCAGAGCCCTGGAAGTCAGGTTCGACTGGCACGGGGCCCGTATCCATCTGATTGCCGTGTATCAACACGTCTGGTCACCGGCCAAACAGGTACAGGTCAATCGTCAGGACAGGGCACAAGTCCTGAAAGCTCTTGGCAGATGTGTGCAACGCGTGCCACACAGAGACACGCTCATCATAGCAGGGGACTTCAATAGCTCCTTGCAAAAGCAGCCCAGGCTGGTCGGTCCCGAGCTCATCAGTCCACAGGAACCGCGACCTGATGAACCAGAGCTAACAAACTTTTTGCTCAATCACCGCTTGGTGGCTCTCAACACGTGGCGACCTCAGCCGCCATTTACGTTCCAACAAGGGGACACGCGCACTCAAATTGACTTTGTGCTTACGAGGGAGGTGTCAGCAGGAGGCACTGCCAAGGCTTCCACGCCACTGGCGGCTTTTCCGCTAGGCAGCTGGAAGAAAAGCGGGCACCTGCCCATCAGTGCGACTGTCAAGCCAGTACGGCACTGGAATTTGCCGCCCCCTCAGATACAGACACATCAGTTCGACGCCGCTGCCCTGCAAGCGGCTGTTAGGGACAACACGCTGAGCTAATGCTCGAGTGGGTCAAAACACGTCTAACCCCGGACATGCAGCCGGCGTCATGGGATCGCCTCCTTGGCGAAGCCACATCTAGATTCTTCCCTAAGACCCCGGTGGCAATGCCAGAAATTCCGGAGACGCGTATTGCCAGAAGAATGTGGCGCTCTGCGCGAGGGAGCCATGCTCATTCCGGTGCTGAATCAGCTACAGACGCTGATGCCCGCCAGCTGTTGTATGACCAGCATAAACTGGCGGTTAAGCAGTCTCGCAAAGACCAAACCAAGCGGTTCCTTGCTGAGGTGGATCAGGCTCTCAAACAGGGAGATCAACACCTGGCATATCACACTCTCAAGCACCTTCGACAGTGGAAACCGGCTCTGAAGGCTCAGCTAAAGGATTCGAATGGTTTCCTGCTCAGCCCAGCAAATGAGCTTGCGGAGCTGGGAAAGTACGCCACCCAGGTCTTTGCAGCACACCCACCGCTTCCTTCAGACTCGGGATTTCTGCCCCTTCTGCCACAGCCCAAGTTGGCAAAACATATCGCTTCGATTAAACCTGGCAAGGCAGTTCCGAAGGGGGCAGCGCCGGCCGCAGCCTGGAAGCTCTGCGCTCAGCCGGTATCCGAGGCGCTCTCACAGTACTGTTCTGGCCCGACGCAAGACCAGTCACTAGACGACGATCTGACTCGCGCGGACCTCTGCTTGATCCCCAAACCGGGCAAGCCGGCTGACAAGCCTTCTCAGCTAAGGCCGCTGGGCATACTCCGGCCGGACGCTAAAGGACTGGCGGGCACGGCAAAGGAGCTCCTGGAACCCCTCACGCTGCCGTACATGAAGCCTCTTCCTCAGTTTGCGTACCTCCCAGGGCGAGGCCTTTCTGATGCTCAAAGCAGAGTGGTACAACACCTGAGGGAAGCTAGGCAGCTGTGTCGCAATGCGAATCTCACCAGAGCGGATCAGCAGCGGGGACAATGTCCTGTCGGTCTCGTCGGAGGCATTACCTTTGCACTCGACCTGTCACAGGCCTTCGATACTGTCTCCCGCAGCGAAATCTTGTCTCTGCTAGATGAACTAGGCGCGGATCCACCCCTACAAAAACTGATACACGGCCTACATCATCGATCCAAGTACAGGCTCCATTCTCAAGGGGACTACAAGGATGTGGAAACTACCACAGGCATCAAACAAGGCTGTAAGCTGGCCCCCACATTGTTTTCTGTGCTCACAGGCCGCCTCCTGCACAGGCTGATAAGCACATTTGGCTGGGACAATGTCCGCAGATACTTCACAGGGTACGCGGATGACTTCACCATGCATCGCACCATCCGCAACAAAGCGGACGTGGACGCAGCTCACAAGATGATCCTCCAGCTTTTGTCGGAGGTAGCGAAACTAGGCCTGCGAGTCAATCCGACCAAATGTGCCATTCTTGTCAAGCTCAGCGGCAGAGAGGCCGAGGCCACGCTCCAGAAGCACACCTGCTGGCTCCCTGATCAGGACGGAAAACTCCAGAGGCACTGGAGACTGGGCAAACACAAGTCCTTCCCCGCCTACAAGCTTGAGACGCAACTCAAGTACTTGGGCATTCAAATCTCCTATGGGAATCAGACGTTGCGCTTCCGTATAGCGGAGGCTGCCAAAAAGCTCCAGCAGGTTAAGCGCTTTGTTTACAACCGCAGAACCGCGGGGCCAATGGCCAGACTGAAAGTCTGGTTCACTACTGTATGGGCTACCTTGGTCACGGGACTTCCTGACGTCGGCCTCACCGAGGAGACAGCCAGGCATCTCAGAGGTTGGTACGCGCACAAGCTACGCTCCGTGCTTAACCAGCCTGTCCACGTCAGCCACATCTCAACAGCTGACCTGTCCAGCTGTATTCGATTCAGGACCCGGTGGCTAAAATCCAAGCTCGGATGGCCTCCAGACACAGAAGACTGTGTAAACGAACCGACATCCCAACCCGCGAGGCCGCCACTTCCGCCCAGCCGGAGAGCACTCCCAGTGCACCTACGATGCAGCATGGCCCATGGGCCAGGCTGCGCTCCACAGCGCCGGGCTCGGCCACAGGCCCGCACCTTTCTGAGACAGCTGTGCACGGTGATGTCACGCGCCTAGGCCATGTCATACAGGACTTACAAGACATGCTGAAAGAGGTGGAAAACCTTCCGGCGAGGACCGAGCCCTCGCACCAACGACTACACACCTGCCCTCACTGCGAAACTGGCTTTGTCTCTGCCCATGGCTTACATCTGCACATCACAAGGATGCATCGCGAACACGTACAGAGGTACATTCCCCCCTCCTTTGATCGAAGTCGGCACTCTAAGGACGGCTTACCAGTATGTTCTGCATGCGACAAGGCTTTCCATCAATGGAAGGGCTTGCGTGACCATCTGTTATCGGGAGCCTGTACGCAACCAGATCGACTGCGCCAGCTATCTCTCACAACTGAGGAACAGCTGCAAGGTCAAGCCCTCAGAGGCCTGGCGGCCCTTCGGGCCACGGTGCAGAGTTCGCGAAGAGACAGGCTTAGCATCATCGCCGCCCAGCCGGAAGCTCAAGAACTCAAGCACCATTGCATTTTGTGCGGATTCTGGACCCCGGACCATACCAAGATGAAGAATCATCAACGACAGGCTCATGCACAGGTCTGGCAGCGAGACGGTCCAGCGGCACTCCACAGCTCTGCCAGGCCTATACCGTGCAGATGATCAAAGGGCACCCCTGCCCCTTTTGCAAGCTGCCGGTTTATGACAAACGCAAGCACCCAGAACAGTGCATAGTTCTGTTTCAGGTCCTGCCTGGGTGGCACAGGGTGCAGGGAACGGACAAGATGCGGCAACAATGTTCCAAGCCTCAACCAACGACCGCGGTGACAATGTCCCTCAGTGGTTTCTTCGGGACTGCGGACCGGTCCGCTATCCCCGCTGCATCCACCACAGTCGCCACGGCGACGACGGGCGCTGCCAGTGGAACTCTCCCACAAGGCCTGTACTCTCGCATGAGGCACATGGTGAACTCAGGCAACACATGCTATGTCAATGCGACCATACAAGCCCTACTAGGTGCAATCGACTATACGTCCAATGTAGCGGAACTGGGACCACTGGTCGAACATTGCATCAGTCCGGAGGCGGATCCAATGGGCACGAGGCTCATAAACCCTCCAAGCTTTTTTGCTCTTCGGTCGCTCGTGCCTAGATGGCGATTCGATGGCCGCCAACATGATGCCTCCGAATTTGTCACAAGCCTGCTAGAGCATAACACAGGGACCCTACAACCCGTGCGTGGGGAGGGTCGCACTAATGGACTTCCAGAAAGCGAGGATGACGGCCTTACGCCGCTGCTGCTGCCTCTTTCCTCGGACTGTCGTACACTGCAGCAGGCCTGCATGGCATGGTACAACCACATGTTCCAACGCGCCCTGGCATGGGCCCCAGACATCCTACCAGTCACAGTTGCCCGATGGATGGATGGCACCAAACGACGCACCCCGCTAGGCCTGCGCAGGCAAATCTCATTGCCGTCTTGGACGGAGGGACAGGACCGCCAATGGCACCATTACTCAGTCATTTCGGGAGTTTTTCATGTAGGAGCGGAAATACACTCCAGTCATTACCGGTCCTTCTGGATCCATCCGCATGGAGGCGCGCTGTATGCCGGTGATGATGCCACCCGCCCACACCCAGCCTCGGCCTCAGATCGCAAACATGTTTTGGAAGATTGCTACCTTCTTTTCCTGAGAAGACAGGAGTGACTCTGACTCACCCTCAAGGGGTGAGTGCTGGCCCTCCAATCCTAGGAATGCGTGCACCAATAGGGTGCCTGTGCGTGGGAAGGCCGGACCCCACAATAGGTGGGCATGGCCCCCCCCACGTCAAGGCCAAGCATGCTTTAAGCATGCGCAGGCTTACCCGCAGCTTTTCAGGCTGACCCAGCATGGCTGACAAGATCCACAGCCCAGACCACAAACGTGGTCGAACCGCATCACCCCTAGCTTCAGATTCACTCATGGGAGAGCCGTCTGAGCCATTTGGGGTCGACACTCGACGCCAGACAGCCGGTGGCGGCAAGCAGAGGCCAGGCAGAGCCCCGCACGCCCTTTCCAACGCCGAGCTTACTCAAGGCTTTCTGCTACATGAAGA